ATATATATATATAGATTATACTTAGTATTGTATAATATACTTTGTCATTGGATGATGTTTTAACTTTGTAACCTTCGGCTGTTTCCTTATAATACACAAGGTTATCTTTTTTATTGATGTTTGTTTATTTTTGTTATGTTAAATAGCATTAATTTTTGTCCTTCGTCAAAATTTTACTTTTAGTATGTGATGATGACGGAAAATAACATAGATGATTTAACTAATGACTGGTTCGCTGGTGGCTCGAAGAAACTATCTACTGTTTTGCTACTAAGGAATGATCTTAGGACACTAGGAGACAAAGCGTTCCAATCCTTAGATGGCTTGCGAATACTTTCGATTACTGGAAATTCTTTTAGAAAAATATCAAGATCTGTGTTCCCTTCAAATTCTAAAGTGCTAGAAAATATTGATTTATCGTAAGGTTCAATTTGATGTGTTAATATTTTTTGTGCCAATTATTTCAAATGGAATACTGGTGAAACCGTAATAAGAGATAGCTAAAAAATAAATTTAAACGAGATTCTTTTACTGAAATTTAGCTAGCATTAAATAAATTACCTCCAGGATTTGAAGTGGTAAGATATTACTTGAAATTTGTTGGCTTCAAATATAATTAGGTGCAAATGAAAGTCGACATGTTTCAGGCACTCAGAAATAGGCGCTCATTCTCAAGACTTGCTATTTGGCCATGATATAGCTTCTGTGAAACTTCAATAAAATGAAAAGAGCAACACTGCTTTCTCTAACTATTGAAACCTTTGCGTATTTAATTGGCTTACCCTGAGGAACAAATTTTCGGTTGCACCTATGCAAACACATGATATTGCTTAATTTAGGTGTGGGAATTTCAAATCTGAAGTTGGTTTTGCTCCTAAAACTACTGATTGTTTTTAAAATGAGCTTTATTGACTACTTTTTGGTCGAAATCAATAAGCTAAAAGCTTTATATATAGCAAGGGGTAGCGTAAATGCAGCCACAAACTTCTAGAGGAGTTAATAATATCATAAAGATTAAAATTTCATAGAAGCTCATGTCTCGAAATGTCATAGCACATGTCTAGGAGAGCTTTCTATTATAACCTCTTCAGAAGTACTGGAAGAAGCAATTCATAATAGGAAAGAGCCGCTAGTGGCGTATGATGACATTTTCGGACATGGGTTTCTATGCAACTTTAATCTTGATAATGTGCCCTTACTTTCCTAGAAGTTTGTCATACCATTTATACGAACCCTGTTATATACAGCTTTTCTAAACTCGTATATTTCGAAAAAAATACAATAAATATGTCATTAGAAATCGGAGTTCGTAGGGAGAAAACGGTTGCAGATTTGAGACCAGCTATCTTAGTTAGCTCTGCAGATGCAAAAGTATCTGAGATCTGTTTAAAAAAAATTCATACGACAGAAAAAAAATCGGTTCCCTAGTGTTATGAATGATACTCACTCTGTAAAAACTGTGATGTTTCATCATCCGAATTCAGTGTTAAAAAAATGTGTGTTATTTTAAGTTTATACCAAATAGAGTGTTCATAAATAAATTTAATCATAATAATTTACATAATATCTTTAAGTTTGAATTTAAATCTCGACACTAACAATTGATAGAACTTACGCTAAAATCAGATGAATATACTTTTTTTTTTATAAATTATTTTCGCTCATTTCGGAGTCACTTTAAACCTCCAATTTTAGTTCCCCATATTTCTTGTTTGCAATCGAAAAGAGAAGTGAAATTCGTCTCGCCCATCTGAACATTCAACAGCGATAAGCAAGTCTGTCAATTGTTTATCTGTCAGTTGTATTAAATAACTTCATAATTTCAATCAGCTCGGTACAAATTCATGCATCCTCTCTGTACTCTGAATATATTTCATTATCAAACTAATTTTATCTTTTGAAATATTGTATATATACCTCATACATTATTGATGCTTGCTTTGTATTATTTCATAAAAATAACTTTTCTGACGTACTTTATGCGTATTTTATATTGTGATTATAAATCTTAGAGTTACTTAGCATTAAAAATGGTGGCGAGTACTTTAGAAAACTACGATGGTGGCGACTACTACTGCAAAAAATGAATGCCTAAATTTATGAAACTTTTTCGTTTTTGAAGAAACCGTTTCCTGGTTTAAGCTCAGGGCGAACATTTCGGCAGAGTGACAAAATTTCCTCGAGGAAGCCATTTTCGTTAAATGTAATGAAATATTACGTCATTCCGGTTTCGTCAAATTGATTCATCAGAGCCATGATGTCTCCGGGAATAATTAAATAAATAATCAGTATAATTAATAAATTCAGTGTTCGCCTTCCTATGTTGTGAGCCTGGTTTAAATCTCAGAGATGGCTGGTCCATACGAATTCCGTATCTGGCTTGCACCGACCACAGAACTGACGTAAAATGTCTTCAGTGGTAAACGGATCATGCATTAGAGTCAAGCTAACAGTGGGAGGTTTTCGTGGTTTTCCCCTCCATGTATCGCAAATGACGGTTAGTTCCATCAAAAAGTCTTCCAAGAAGGCGATTTTCCCCCAATATTTGATCCAGGAGTTTCCTTTTCGTCATATATTTGAGAGTTCACGTTTCGTCGCAAATCACTTGATTTCGCGACGCAATTCTCATAAATCACGGAAGGCTGCTCAAGGATTACTGAATCGCTAAAAGTTAGAACTATATTTCTGAGAGTGCAGGGTAAAAAAAACATTCTTGGTGTAATGTAAAACTCAGATCCAAGAGTTATGTATGGTGGTTCAAAACACCACTTTTGTGAAAAGTAGATGCCACCAATTACAGTGCTGAGATACACTGTCGTTGTTGTTGAGATACAGATTATTTTTATAGTGTGAAAGTAAATAATACCCTTCATTAAAATCAGGGCATATTACACCTCCATTAGAAAAGTTACTAACACATCTATTCGAGTATGTTGCAGAAATACAACGCCTATATAAAAAGTACACATTTATTTGTAAGAAAAGCGCAGAAAAGTTAATTAAACTCCAACTAAATTACAATTTTGCATATTATAAAGAGGGCATTCTTCATGTTTCTAAAATAGAACTAAATTTCCATCTTGCAGGGACAATAAAATAAAAGAGATTCCTTTTGGTTTGTTCAGCAATATGCCTGAAATAGTCTACGTCAATTTGGCTAATAATTGGATTAATACAGTTGAAGAGGATGAAACCATATTGAAAAAGACACGAATACATTTAGTAGGTGAGTACTGCCTTTTTATGCATTTGTGATTAGCTATTTTAAGATAATATCTTTGAATGGGTTAAATATTAAAATTATTTTTGCATCTCGTGCATGTTAATGCATTAGCTAAAAATTCGTGTTGAATTAAAATGTCTTTCATATTAAAATGATAACTAATATAAAAGTTGTGATGTTGTCCTCATTAATGAAAGAAAATTACTTTTTACGTTTTAGAAAAGAAAGTTACATACAAATTTAGACAGAACTTTTACTTGATACAAGTTAAGATTAATTTTAATGAGACAATTCTATGATTTTTATTACTTTTCGTTTGATGGGTATCAAACGAAATCGAAAAGAGCTGTCACCACATCATCCGGTTATTTATTTGACACTGGTGTTTTTTTAATTTTTATAACATTTATATCACACAAATAAAATAAAACACAAAAAGACATAAAAACATGATAAGAATAATAATAAAATTTGTTGGAGTTTGCTGCTAACAGTTTTTATACATTTATTTAAGTTCAATCGTCTATCTATCAGTTTTTGTTACATTAAAGAAAATTCTGCGTCTATTTTGAGGAATTTCTTTTGTTTGGTATCTATCTAAGTTCAGTGGTTTTTGATGGTTGAGCTAAAGTAATTTTTATATGTTTTTATAAATATGTATTTAATTAATACATTTTTAAAATAGGAAATCCATTGAAATGTGATAAAAATCTTGAGTGGATCTGTAAGAATGAAGTGACTTTGGATATCAATACTGCTAAATGTGATTCACCTAATTCAATGAAGGAATACTCTTTGAAAGTGTTTTGCGACGTAGCTGGAAAACAGGATTAATATTTTTGACAAAAGATAAAATATAATTTATGATGATTACTAACAAGATGACAAACATATGAAGCAATGATAGTGTGGTATATCAAATTCTGTGCAAAATAAATTAAATTCTTTATATGATTTGTTCTGTTGCCTTTATTGTTTTGAAATTTCCTCTTATTTGAGTTGAACATTATGAATTATAAGTAGTGTTGAAATGAAAAATGGTGTGATAAACAAAATTGAATCTTGTGTTGTTATACTCAACAGAAAAGCTTACACCAGTCGTTCCATATTAACCTTTATGGCAGGTTATTTCGTAATAACTGTTCTTAAAGAGTGTTCTTAATATCACGGGCGCATGATCGTTACATTTGGCAACAGATTTTACTCTGTCTTTTAAATTAATCGTCCTTGCTCGTTGTTCCGAAATAGCAGTTCTTAAAGTGTGTTCTTAAACTCACAGCTCATGGTCGTTATATTTGGTGACAGAGTGCTTCATATTAATCGTCTTTGCAGGTTTTTTAGTCATAACTGTCCTTACAGGGTGTTCCTAAAATCACGGTAATTACAACAGATGATGATAGAACATAATAGGACAATTACAAATCACCAAACAACTTACGGTCAAAATACATTTTTAAAACTCTAGAGGGCACTTTTCAGCCAGTTCGAAGCAGTAAAGTTTATTCATGTTCTGGATAGGCTCGAAAATGTATTTTATACCCAAATCAACATATGGTCATTGTAGTGTAAGGGAAACGAATAGGTAACACCATGAATTTTTTCCTATGAAACGCTTCATAGATTCAAGAACAATTTCAGCCGTTGCCCAAAATATGAAGGAAAGAAAAAGGATTGTTAGCCAATAGCAAGGAGGATACGGGATAGAATGGACATAACAGAAATATGTTCCAGTGACTTAATGATCCTCTTTGCTGTTCAATGATACAAATTCCTCTAAAAATGATTAAACAACAATTTATTTAATCGACATTTTACCATTTTCAGCAAAAACAATAACATTTCAATAAAGATTTGGTATTCAAACTGTGAACAGTAAAGCAAAACCATTCATTGATACTTTTCAACTAATAAAGTTAAGCATCCAGAATTTTATCCACGTCTCACCTTATGAAGCCATTCAGCTTGTTGCAGTTGGGCACATACGGTAACCGAGTGGACTAATCTGTCAATCTCATGACCAATAGAACATGGTGTTCGGTCATAGTAGTAATTAATAGTATAATAAATTATCATATACAAAATTAGAGGAATCCATCCCTGTTCGCTGTCACTCAGCTTTTTTCTTATAAACGAAAATTAAATTAGTTGCTTTAAATTATTCTTTGAAAATGTGTAAATAAGAAGCTAGTTTAACATCAAACACACGCAATGCCACTCAAGCTAAAAGGGGAAAGTAAATCCGATCGTAGTAGAAACAGAGGAAGAATGAAAGAATTCTCGATATTGTAGTTTATGTAATAAATAACATCGAGTCGCCAAATTGGAATAATATAAATTTTTTCCACATAAAATGAGAATATTAAGACTTTGTATCTCTCTAAAAGACTACAAAAATACGTATTTTATTATTATTCTTTCAGAATTTTGTAAAAAATACCAAACACTTCTAAAATTTTAAATTTAATAGCTTTTAAACCAATTCGAATAAAAAAAAACAACTTTTTTATTTTCAATTATAAGAGTACGTGTTTTCAAAATATTATTATTTATCCGTGTTTTCCTTTATAACGAAAAATCTGACGAACGGTAAATGTAAACTATTTAACTATTTTAAAACCAATTCGAAATTTAATATAATGGGATGCTTTGTACATCTTCAGACATAAGAACACATGGTTGGAAAAAAAAGATAAAAAAATTACAGTCAATTTTATATTGTTTCATCCAATAATTTTCGACTCATCAGTATTAGAAAGTACTTTCGACAAAACTTTCATGAAACAGCCTGCGACGGCGTCATTGACTTTTCTAAATTTTAATTATTTTTCTTATTTTCTTTGTGTTGAGGGGGAAATGTTATACAAAGAGTTTTCTGCTTATGATAATTACCTATGACTTAGATTCAGTTAATTTTGCCAACATATACGTATACTTTAATAGCATTTAGACTGTACCACTACACCAAAGTTACACGTTCTAAGTTAATACATATAATTATAATAAATTTAGATATTTCGTTTTTATGTAACAATCTACTGAACTTACTAAGTAATAAGAATGCAATCTTATTTTTTCTTAACGAAAAATGATTTCTCAAAAAATCCTATCTCAAATATGCAGTAGAGCCTCGATTATCTACGAGTGGATTATCCGTGAGGAGATTTAAAACTATATTGCGCATATTGCTATGTCATTGAATTTTTTAAGAAAGTGTAACTGAACATTTTTATGTATGAACACTTTTATGTATGAGTATTTTTATGAAGTTCGAATATAATAATTGTTTCTCGACCAGTCGTTATTTTAGGGATTTCGACGTAGAAATAAGATTTATGCCGTGTGCTTTAAATGTATACTCACGTATAAATATATTTTTCATGCTTCCACCTTGCATTTTGAGTTTTTTGTTTTATCCGCGGTGCCTTTTCCCACCCGATGCCATGGCTAATTGGTGTTTTATTGTACACGCATGTCACATTAAACAGATATTTCCCTTTTAAAAGTGATGCAAGGCAGATATCTAAAATTTGATAAAATTATTAACCTTGATGCAACCTTTTAATCAAAATTAGATTTTTTTACAGTTTTTTAGTATTTTGGTCTCTAAAGCGTATAGGAAAATTAAGTTTTCAGCGCTAGAGAATTTTAAAAATAGCAGGCATTAAAAGTTTTTTTTATTATTTTACACTAGTTGACTAAGCCCCTTGTTCGCTGCCTCTCACCAACTCTTCGATAATCATTATAGTAATAATCAATAATCCTTTGCATAAAACAGTTTTTTCTACGAAAATTGAAAATTTACACTTTGAAATATTTTTATTTTAAAGAATTCTGTTTTCTTACGCTTGTGCCCCCACATTCTACGTCCAATATTTATTACTTTAAATTAAATGCTTATTTTGAGTTAAAATTGATTAATAAATAGTGTGAAAGATTTCGTGTTATTCTATTAAGATTTATTAGCAAATATAAATAATTTTGTTTGGTAATCGTTACTTTTTTAAAAACAATATTAAGAATTAAAGGTATATTATTATAACAAGTTAGGTGAGTTCACAACATATTTGCTTTACCAAATAGACTCACATATAAAATACAATTTCTGCATGCATCCCACTTTGCATGAAGCTGATCATTAAGTTCTAAATCATTTAACGCATCTCGTTAATGGTTATTCATGAGCCGTGATTGCTCAGGGGATAAAGCGTTTGCCTTTCAATGAGGTGAAGCGGGTTCGAATCCCAGCGATGCTGGGCGATACGAATTCCGTATCCGGCTTTCACCGATCACGGTGCTGACGTGAAACATCCTCAGCGGTAGACGTAACAAAGCTGACGACCACAGTGGTGACGTAAATAAAAGAGGCACAAGAATATGATAAATTGAAGAACTCTAAAACCCTCTTGTTGATGAACAAATTAATTCATATGGGAAACAATAAGTATTCTTTCCAAAAAGGAAAAAAATATGTATCCCATTCCTGAGATAAATGTGGGAAAAATAACACCCGTCTGAAAAATCAACAGCTTGTTAGATTTCTGAGTTTGATTTTAAACGTTCAAATTTTAATATTCATGCTGATTTCCAAGTAAGATGTTCTGATTTTTAATTACATTGTTTTTTTTGTATGGCTACAATAGTTTACTACTTAAAATTTTACTAAGTTTTATTATTGTTTATCAAAATAATTGCATTAAAAATTTGAAAACTTTGATGCGGGAAACTTAAATACTTAAATAAACCCACAATATCTATTAGAATCATAATAGTAGTTGTTATTCATGATGTTAATTACGTGTGTAAAGTCTTTGATGAAATTTTAATGCTAAAGTTACAGAGGGAACTATATATATATTTACTTCAATGTTGTAGTAAATTTATTACGTTAAATCAAGATTAATCTATTTATCTGAGAGTGCATTTATACCAAAATTAAATTCTGTAAAAATAAGTATGGTATCAGAGAATCTGTAAATTGTTCATATTTTATATATTAAATATATGTTGATATTGAGCGAACAAAAATGGTGAAAAAGAAACTCAATTTTCGATTCTGATTGATTTGTAAAAGTTAAATGTAATCAATATCTAAATGAGCTTCATTATATATTGTTAAGAAAGCAGCTGCATTACATCTGAAAAATCACTTTTGACAGATTATATATTTTTACGTAGTCTTATCAGCACTTTAGTACAATTTAAATAACCTTTCTGGTCTGAGCTATACATTTGGTCTGATATTTTCTGCAACTTGGTAAGACTCAATTTTTTGTGACACATTATATAATATTTTTATGAAATGGCTGATGAATGTAGGATTGCCAAAATTAAAAACGAAATATCTCAATAACATATAATCTAATAATTTAATTTTCACGTTCTAAGATGAAATCTAAATGGTTTGAGAATAAATCTTAAATTTTTGTGTCGGCGATATTTTAAATTGAAAAAAGTACTTTTTCTGAATAAAAATGACTTTGTTTTGACGGATCCTGACCATCAAAATATGGTTGGCTATCTGGAAATTAATAGTGCCAATAGAGTAGATTGGAGAGAGGTCTTACGTAAAAAATAATTTTTTATAATAATTTTTTATTTAACTGTTTATTTTAATTATGGTCAAAAAACTTTTGAAAGACAAATAATATAATAAATGAAAAATAGTGTATTCAATTGCTCACGTCATTTTTAACTGTATTATTTTAAATGGCAAAATCCAATATGTGAACAGAATTGATCAAGTAGTTTTTAGGAAATGAAAAACTAAAATATGACTTTTTTTTACTACTTGGCATGAAAAAATAAAGTGGGGCAAAAACGGGTTAATTTTAAGGGGCTTCATCACTGGGCATTATCATTTCAGGAAACATCTACATAGATTGGGACTTTTCGAACAAGAACCAATATGTCGGAAATGCCGTGAAGAGGTAGAATCAGCACATCACATCCTATACGAATGTGATGCCCTCGCCCTTACGCGCCTCACTACCTTAGGCAATCCATATCCTAAAGAGCTTCACCTTAATTCCATTAAGGGACTGTCAGACTATATTAATAAAGTAGGCGACCCGAGACAATGGAACTAGGAAAAATTGGGCTTGGAGTATGGTACAAAATGCAACATGTGCAGAGGTGCCACATATCTGACAAGCTCAAGCAAGAAGAAGAAGAAGAAGAAGAAGGGGCTTAAGCTTTCGACCACTCTCCTGCCTAAACAATTGGGATCATATTTTCCTGGTTAATGTTCCCTACCATATTTTCTGGGTCAAAAATTGAAAGACTTCGAACATAAGGTATGTTTACTGAGAAAAAATATTTTTGCATTTGATTTTATAACTTAAAATATTTTCTGCACAAGTTTATTATCGACTTAAATTGAGACCTTCGAACCATTAAGACTGCAGCTTAATACGAGAAAATTTGAGTAATATATTAAAAGTTAATTACTTCCTCATGCATATGGATCACACGTAAGGACATATATACTTTTGCTTCATAATGTTATTGACATTCGTATTTGGACTGTAATTTAAATTTAGTCCTTATTTGGAGACTCCAAATAGTCCTTTGAGATCGCACCAGGTGGCAGCCCATTAAGGAAAGTTAAGAGAATATTATATAATCTCTTTGGAAGTCGACGGAAGATTCAAGAAAGAAGTGAAAATCTGATATTTTGTTCATTTATTTTGGAGGGCATATTAAATTTCTGGAAAGGTTAATATATAATTTTACACCTTATTGTACCTAGTAAATGAAGTATGAGTATTCAGTTTTTCGAGGATTAAAATTATACAGGACATGAAGACAATTTTTGACTATACCGGACTAAAATTTCTAATGAATTATTACACCACAATTAAATTATTACACCAAACTCCTGAGACATTAAATTGGCTTGTACCATATTGAAATGTTTTTTACAACTCAACTAAAAATTCAGGCATGAGAGGGTTAAGGTGTTTCGTGTTTTATTTTGTATGGAAAGTATGTAGTAGAAAATATTTTATGAATTTATATTTTATTATTCGTTTCAATTTTTTATACACATTTCAGATTCCAGATGGCGTTCATAGCTTCAATATTGTTCCTTGTGTACAGCACCATTGCTGTCGATGCTTTATTGAAGGAATGTCCATCTTTAGAATCAACATCATGCACCTGCATCATTAATTGGGGTAATTTAACTATATTTTAGTACAACTAATTGCTTGTGTGTATCTGTTTCTTTCTAAGAACGTTTTTTGATTTATGGTTCTTGTTCGCTTGTTTTCGTTAATCGTTGTTTTTTCAACTGTTAAAAAGATGATGTAACTCAAGACCTAACTCAATATTTAGAATTACCAAACACTGTAAAATATTCCGGATCAAATCACAATAAGAAATATAGGTTCTTTGAGTGCATCATGACAGTAATTACTGACAGGTACCTGTTAAGATGGAATCAAAATATATTCAAAGAATGAATTTCAAAGAAATTATTATTTCTTACATATTGAATAGTTACATGCGTAAAGTGCAAGTAATTTGATAATATATTTAATTTTAATATATTTATTTAAAAGTTAGACTTCGATACTATAGTTATTAAGAAGAAGTATATGATTTCATAGTAACAATTTTTTTTTTCGAATTCAGTTTCAAAAATTACAAAAAATACACACGTTTTTTGAGTCATAAATGTAGGTACCTCTAATTTTCCTATGATGTAGGTCAATACTTTTGTCTTCAATTTTCGTTTGTCTGACTGAATATTTGTTATTTTTAAATTAATTTCGAATTATACAATTAGATTTATTGTAAATAAAATATAATTCACGTTGAACTTGAAGGGAATAAGATACCTTTTGAACAAAAGAGACACCATCAGACAATAATTTTGGAAAAAGAAAATTTTTTTAATCATTAATAAAAAATTAGTTTTAAGAGAAGGATTAACTAGATTGTCGACGGCAGACTGCTTTGTTTTTAAGATGGTGAACTAAGTTCAAATCAGATTGATGGCTTGTCGTTTTTTTTTTGACACTGCTAGTTTTTGTAACTGGTTCTGTCTCAAACATTAATAGTGACAGACAAACCAGTTGATAGTTATGTAATTGAATGAGAAGTAATGCAACTAGTACTATTGCTAACATGTTAACTGGAGAAGGTATTTGTAACTTTTCTTCTTGAGTAGCACAAATATGGATCAGTTTCAATTAAAGGAAGCCTATTGGTATCAAATCTCATTCTAGAGTATCAGTTGTCTAGAGTATCAGTTCATTGGTATCAGTTCTCTTTATGATAAATGCTTGTAAATTTTACAAAACAGTTAAATAAAGTTAGTTTTTTAGAAAAAAACTGATATTTCTAGTAACAAACATTTCGTATCTGATGACATTCGAACATTTTCGAAAGTATTATCTTGTTTTCTTTATTTCTTATTTACGATAGGTGTGTAAAAGAACTCTAACTCTAAACTAGAGAAGAAAAATATTTTTCTTCTCTGCAAAACCTTCTTTCAACCAGGCTCTCCATCCCTTTAAGCTGTCCAAAAAATGGGAAAAATCTTTCCCTGCAAAATAGTTTTTGACGAAATTCATAACCTTCTTCTTTGACGAAAATATTTGTGCTCCGAGTGTTTCTTTGTTTTTGTTTTTTTATGAACGAGGAAATGCGACTTGGGTCCACGCCTGGAGAGTAGGGAGAAATTAGTGGGTTTTTACCATCGATATAAGAGAAGAATCATCGTGGAGAAACAACTTTTCTTTCCTTTCGTTAATGCTACCGTTTTTCGTCAATTGGCCTTTAGTCTGTCAACTAACGTTGCATAATATGAGCCAATAATAGTTTTTTCCCTTTCACGGTAATTTATTAAAACGATTCTATGGCTATCTTAGAAAACTATCATCAAAACTTTTCTAGCATAAAGAGCAGTTTTGGTCTTTATTTTTGGATCGATTCCTTCCTTTTAGTCCACTGTTTTGACTTTGATTTTGTTTCTAAACTGCAAAAATGAATCCGGGTTTCGTCTACACTGAGTAATAATAATAATTAAAAAAAAACTCCGATTTATATTGAGCGAACAGGTAGCGCAAATGTTTATTCGTGGACATTCTTGGTTCAAATTGAGTAAGCGTGGAACTCAATTTACAGTCAAATTGCGCATACCTATGCGCATACCGCTAAACACATTCTTTAGATATTTTTATACTCTTTAACTCTGCTTACTTTTCATGGATTATAACTATAACTATAACTCGATGATCATCAATCGAAATTTGCTGAATTTTAAAAATGTTTTTGCAAGCTGATACAGTTTTTGGTCGTTCTGAGTGTTCATTATCATCCAAGCTGCCACACTTTCTCTAAAGTGAAGCTGTATAAAATTTTCCAGTTGTTACTGGAGCAGCGGTGTCACAGAAGAGAGCATTTTCTTCCCAATAAGGTGAGCCAGGTTCGAATCTCAGTGGTGGTTGGTTGATATGAACTCTACTCCAGGCTCGCACCTACCACTTTGCTACATACATTGCTGAAATAAAGTAAAAAGTAGTAAATGATGGCGAAAAGTTGCTAAGTCTCCATGCATTGCGTCCAACTTCTTATTAATCTGTGAAGAACCTAATAATACCTCGATACTCACAACGTTTTTCCATTTTTGCAACTCACAAAATTAATTTTGGAACAAAACCTTCTGGTTCAAATTAGCTGAAATTTCGGTTGAAAATTATCAAAATGATGTCCAAACAATTTTACGGACTTAGGTTGATTCTTACTGCTATTTTTACTTCAAGATAGTTAGCTTTTCGGACCGCATTCGTAATTTATATTAGTAGTTCGAAAACATTTCTTTATGTGAACATTTCTTTATTCTGTTCTATTAAATTATTTTGTGTTTTTGTGGGGACATTTTTATGATTATCAAAGTACTTGTAAATAAAATTTCAATTATTTCAATTGGAGTGATTTGAATTGGAGTCATTTTGACCTAGTTTTTCCTTTTAGGTCCCTTAGTTACTTGCTCTAAAATAACAGATGTAAAAACATTGAGGTCAACTCTTGAAGGGCTGAAAGGTTACTCTATCGACCTAAAACTATCCGATATTGAACTTTCTGAATTAGCACCAGACACATTTCAAGGATTGCATATTGATCATCTTGCTTTGGACAATATCGAAGTTGCTTCGTCAGATGTTATACAATTCCAAGGATTAGAAAAGTCCTTGACGATTCTTGAAATTGACAACAGTTTTAAAAAGAATCCACTTCCAGGCTTGAAGTTAGACAATCTCGAAAATTTAGAGGTAGGTTTCAGAAAAAAATTTTACTTAAAAAAATTAGTCAATAAGATTTCAAACAATTATGATGATTTTTGGGGCAATTTTATCTAAAAAATTTCTCGAATATCATCTTAGAGTAAATCCTATTATTATAGAATAATTTATTCAGATAGAGACATTCTTCAAATTATTAAGTGCTTAACAACAGGCATGTAAACTGCATTCAATATAAACGTGTTTGGTAAGCAAAATTATCTATTTATAGTTTTGAGCTCATTGAAATTCGTTATGAGCATTATACAGGAATACGGTATCTACCCCCTACTAGTTTTAAATTTTTTTCTCTAATGAATCAGAATCCGTGAAATCAAATCTGTATTTAAACAATAAAAATATTAATCTTGATGTAACTATCTTAAAATAAAAATGAGAAAGAAGTAATCGCGGGGGTGAGGGAAGAGTAGAGAGCAGGGAGTAAAGACGTTTTGTTTTTCACATCAATTAAAATTAACCAGATCTTGAATTACTAGCAAATAAAGTTAATTGGGTTTTGAATCCATTTAACTTTATTTGATATTAGTTCAAGTTTTGGTAGTAGTTTGGTCATTACAGTAAAAGCTTCAAAATGTGTGCAGTTTTTTAAGCTGTAAAAAGTTTAAAAGGCTTAACGTTTCTTCAACAAAAATATGCAGTGTATTTTCAAAACATTATCTTTCAGAATAAAATTTTTGAGCTTCTTACTTTGGATAATAAATTAAATAAAAAAATAAATTTTCAAATTGAAATTAGGTTTGAACTGAGACAAGTTTTGTACTTGTAAACTAAGGAAATGATGCATTTTGTTTGGCTGTTTTAAAGTTTAAATTTTAAAAATAGGAATTAATTAGGTTTGCTTTTCAATTTTTTTTACTTTTGATAAGTAGTACCTTAATTTTCGCATTTTATTCTTAATTTGCTAATGATTCGTTGAAGTTTGATAGTGTGTTCCGTTATATTTTTTTAATTAATTTCTCGCTGCTTAAACAGTGCAATTCATAATAACATTATTTTTGGCATTAGGTTCGTAACAATATTAGGTTCTTAACAATTAATCTAGTTCCATTACACAGTCCTTTAGAGGGCATCAAATTTCAAAAAAGCGCTTTGAACAAAATAATAAAATAGAGATCTATCGACAAAGACTACTCACTTCTACCTAACTTAGTATGAGATTGCAGCAGCTGAATTGAACAACCTGATAGGGTGAAATTTCGGAAGAGATCACATTTGTTGAGAATGCTCTCTCTGGTTATTTCAGTTAATGAGTTTTTTTTTGTCTC